GTGTCTCTAGATTTATGTGCTAAAACGTTTCCCTGAAGGGATATCTGGCAGACCCTCGTTAAATTAAAAATAAATAGCTCAATTTTTCTTTAAAAAAATAAGCATTTCTAACACTATTTTGAAGCAATGATACTGTTTAGAAGCCAATCATCCCCCCACGTTTGATGTTACTAACAGTTCTATCCCCCAGGACGTGCCTAATACCCCCCATTGAGGGTACCAATGTCTGGAGTACAATAACAGCAACATAAACAGTAAAATATTATTTTACAGGTGAAATAGAATACATATTAATCTGAAACTTTCATATAAATCACAGTTTGAGTGGACAAACTTCTGTCAAGGAATTATCAGATTTAATTACACAAATGACAACAAATCAGACTATTGATGCTGGGTGATCTAAAAAAAATTTTGTTTTTGAGTCACTGTTGAAGATACCACACCAAAATATCCAAATAAAATATGAAAACAGGGTTCCCATTTGACTAAACTATAAATCTGTAATTATAATTTATTTAAATCTCCACTTCATGGCTAAATCTATTTAAACCTTTGCCTTGGATCAAAGTTAAAATATATCAAGACGGTTCCAACTGTAAAAAACACTGTAACTTTGAATTTGAACAACCAACACAACAAATGAGATGGGTTTAACCAAAATACCTGGATTTGTTCAGATGGACCTACACTGTCCAACACTTCTAACGCAAAACTGACAGATCCAATAGTTGACAAAAGCTATTGCACTTATACAACTCGACAAATTTGTCAATGGCATGGCTATTGAGGTTACCTGCACAAAAAAGCTTTCCCTCATTGTCCGACTCAACTTGCGAACTTCCAACCTCTGGGTCAAACAAACGCACCCCACAGCCTTGAATATCCACCACCATTATTTCCTTCTTTGACTTCTCATAGCTATAGTGTGCCAAACATTCTGCCTTTTCCGTAAGGTTCTTGTTCTTTCCACATATTGTTCCATCATTATTGATGTACTTGTCAAACGTGCCACTAACAAATTCTTCGACGGTAACGTACTCATCCCTATTTCTAATATATCCAAGCATAACTTTGTTGTAAGACAAGGTATCTCCAAACAAAATTAAATTGTCTTCTTTCTCAAGATCAGTGTGTAACTGGGCTGCAAAGTTTCTAGCTAAATAGTGCAGTTGAACTGATTTCTTTGTGTGTTGTTCTGGAGTCTGTCCAAGAGTTCTCATATCTTCCAAAGACTTGTCGAGGTAGTGCTTCACAACCCAGGTAGTGTACGAGTACTCTTTGTATTTGCTTGTGGCCTTGAAAGCTTCCCTGAACCGCCCGCTCCAAAAGCTGTCTCTTCCACGTTAAAGTCGACGAGAACTGGGGACGCTGACCAAGCCATAGCTTGAAAGTCAAAATTGTAAATCTCTATAGCTGTTGTTGTACGCTTGATTTGGTTGCCAAGTTTTAACATGTCAACGACAGAGAGGCTCTTAGGGATGAATCTGCTTTCAGGAGATACTTTTTCTGGTCGTATACCACAGGGATGACTGGTAGACACAATTTCCACGCCAGCAGTAGCCCTCCGAGGCAGTGGTGCTCGTACTGGGCTTGAACGTGCAACAGGCCTTGAGCGTTTGGTTTCCGGTTCGCCTTCGCCATCCGACCTCTCTATGAACCTCACGTGAATAACTTTAAAATCGGGAATTTGTTTCACAGAGAAGCAGGAAGGCCCCCTTTCGCCTGCCAGGACATCACAGCATAAAATGCCATCTTCAGGAATCCCGAAGTGCTTCATGCAAGCACTCTTTATATTCTCGATCGTGTATTCTTCGAATTCATAAGAGACGAAGACACGGGCCCCAATGCGGGAGTACTTCTGCAGTTCCCCTGTGACTTCTGCGCTAAGCCTTTGAACTGTGATAGTGTCGTCAGGCAGTGCTGCTGCAACTTTCCCCTTTGCTTTCTTCTCTTTCCCTGCGTTTCTTTTCTCTTTCATTTTCTTTTGAAAGTTACGCCAATCTTTATCACGCCCAGCCGCCATGTTAATCACAGAGTTTGGCGCCACAACTGATATTAGCGAAAAGGATTATGCGATAACATCAGGTGCGAGGAGCATTTTGGGTTATGGCAGTTCTCGGCTTGTCAAGACGAAAAAAAAAATAAAAAAAAAACGTTCCAGTCCCTTAAAAAAATATTCGCCTTAGGGAAAAAAAAAACGAAAACAAAAACAAACAATTGAAAACAAAGACCAAAAAAAAAATAAAGAGTTTCTAATATGAAAACAAATACTCCTTTCAATATTATCTTTTTAAAAATAATTTGTAGTACTTTCAAAAGTCAAACGAATTCAAGCGTTTTAAAAATAAATTGTCTTTAAAAAATAAAGAATACATCTTTAATATTTCTTTATAGAAAAAAAATGCAGTAATTTTAAAATTAATCGATTACAAAAGTTGAATTTTCTTGAATTATCAAGAAAATTCCTTATGGCAGTTCTAGGCCACCATACGACGGCTACCTCTGTTCCAGGCTTGCTCTGCCAGTCCGGTCGCCGTTGCCCCGAAAACGTCTCTATCTTAAGTTCCCTACTAATCACGTGACGTATGGCTTCGCAGCACGTAAACGGTTGCAAAAATACTAGCAGGCGAGAGTTCTGTCGTGGGATCCAAAACAGTGAGAGAAACATCTGGCTGGCAAGGAAAGTTGATCACCAAAAGACATAACTGTATATTAGATTTAATTTGACCCCTCATTATCCGGAATTACAGACGATTGCTTCGAGTCGTTTTTACTCCCTGAGGCTAATCCCTTATATGCTTTATTATTTTCAATTTTTTCATTGGATGGCTGCATTTCGAGAGCTATTTCTACAAGCTCTTACGTCACTTTTGTTGACGTAATTTGATCAAAATGAAAGTTAAAGCTAAAGAAAGGGAAAAATCCCATAGGTTTAATTTCTTCTTGGTAGAAGGGTTGATTGTTGCTTATAGGTAAGTTTTGTGCAAGTCCGGTTATTATGTGAAGGAAAATGCAATTGACTTTTATACTAACATGTTTTGCAAAATATGACTTCTTCGTAGACTTTTTCGTCGTGACAAATCAAGCGAACTATCAAGACTACTCGGGAATTTATAACTGAGGTAGGCATTGTATTAGCTGAAGTTATACTAGAACTACATGGTTCCTTTACCTTAGAACGGCATTTGGTCATTCATCTCGTGGAAACTTTTGTCAAAGCATGTCTCTTTTTAATAAGCCGCCAGTTGCCTATGATCTTTCAGTTCGCAGGGGACTGTAGGATTTCATCTCAACCCTTTCACTGATTTATTATGCATACATGTCCGTTCTCATATAGTAAACTGCTACACCGCCGTTTTTAGTGTCTGCGTTGCGTAACGACATAAAAAAAGACTCTGCAGAAGAGTCATATTTATCATTTGTGTTAAATTATAAGGGCAAGCTGTATACAGAAATCTTTCTAACAGGGACACCCAACGGCAATTTTCGGGAAAATATCTGTTCGGAAGACGATTTGAGTTATAGAATTTTCGGAACGTTTGTTGTAAAATTTTTTGCTTGCCTGCCTCTCCTAGGATTTTCGAACATCTACAAAATGGCATAATTACCCATTTTAAACGGATATTTACCCTAAAAAAGGCCACCTAGAATTTTCGGGAGCCTTTTCCTGGCTGAAATTTTCGAAAAGGTAAGTTTTGATCCCTATAATTTTCGGATCACTAGACTTTCAGCTAGGAAATCCGAACAGATGAAAAGTTTTTAGGGGATAAAAATATGCCCATATCTACCGTTTAAATACTAAAATACGTTCAACAATGCTATGTTAAGTGGTTTTGAACTATATCCTCGTTGGGTGTCCCTGTTTCTAAACCGGCTCACCCTCGGACGGGTGAATTTGAAAAGAACTTGCAATCTCCCTAACTGACATGGCACAAAGAAATTCAAAGACGTCAACGTAACAGTCCTATACTAGCTATGGAAAATAGGAAGTAAAAAAAAAAACTCCTTAGGTTTTTACAAGTACCGAGTTGTTCTCGATGCGCCTTCCTTTGCGCACAAGAGGAAAGTTGATGTTGGCAAATTTCAGGTAAAAAATCAGGGGCAGCCTGAGACTCCGACATCGAAAACCACAAATAAAAGGCTTCTGGCGGGACTAACAATATACATTAGGTTTCTTATGTACCTAAAAGCTACCTATGGACAAATTCATTTTTTAACTCCTGCCACGAAATTAAGATTGTTCTCGATTTTTCCTGACCATCGCTCTTAAGCTGAAACCGAGCAGGGCAAGGAGTCAGGGGGGCCTTTCCTAGTTTATATCGACCATAATTATAATTTTCTGAAGTTCCACAAGCTTAAAATGACTGGTGGTATAGAAATATGTATTCTTTTCATTTGCTGTACATTTGTATTCCGCTAGCAAGAGATTTTAAACCTTAGAAATAAGTTCACTTTCCGAAATTTGACTTTTTTGAATATTCCTACTGGCCCGATTTGTAGTTTGTTGCCAAAAGCTTTAGTATTTTCAATGGAGGGTAGATGAATGTACAACGACTAGATAGATAATATACACCATGTTTAAACAATGGTAAATCTGTTTTCTTTTTCATTTCGATCACTGATCACCAAAAAGAATTTCTTTTTCTTTTTTTAGGAGAAGACCCCAGTTTATCAAGTCACATGACACAACGATAAAAAACAAGTAGAACGATCACTATTTGTGCCTAACCAAATGCGACTGTGATCATGGACCAAAACGAATAATAAAAGAGCTAATAAATAAGCTTTTACTCAATCTTTTAATTTTACTTTTCATTTTCGTTATCGTACGTTATCTGACATATAGAGAAATGGTATCGACGGGAAAAAAAAAACACAACATATCTACACTTTTTTTTTCAGAAGAGCTCAAATAGCAAAGTATGCAAAAAATGTGACAATTAAAGCTATCTTCGGGAAAAGCAGTACGTAGATTTTATCTGCAATTTGTTACTGAAATGGCTGCGAAGGGACAAACAGAGGCCACCTGTAATCTTGGAAATACCAACAAGATTGCCGATAAAGTTGGGGAGAGGACAGAAGAAGAAAAAGAGAATAGTACTATTGGCGACGCCTATGTTAACTTTCAAGATTTCCAGAAAACCATAGAGTACCATGAACGTCACCTCAAAATTTCCAAAGACGTGGGAGACAGGGCAGGAGAAGGAAAAGCGTACGGTAATCTTGGCAACGCCTATCACGCTCGTGAAGATTTCCAGAAAGCCATAGAGTACCATGAGAGACACCTCAAAATTTCCAAAGAAGTGGGAGACAGGGTAGGAGAAGGAATCGCCTACTGTAATCTTGGCAACGCCTATGACAGTCTTGGAGATTTCCAGAAAGCCATCGAGTACCATGAACGAGACCTCAAAATTTCCAAAGAAGTGGGCGACAGGCTAGGAGAAGGAAAAGCGTACGGTAATCTTGGTAACGCCCATGACAGTCTTGGAGATTTCCAAAAAGCTATAGAGTACCATGAACGAGACCTCAAAATTTCCAAAGAAGTGGGAGACAGGGTAGGAGAAGGAATCGCCTACTGTAATCTTGGCAACGCCTATGACAGTCTTGGAGATTTACAGAAAGCCATCGAGTACCATGAACGAGACCTCAAAATTTCCAAAGAAGTGGGCGACAGGGTAGGAGAAGGAAAAGCGTACGGTAATCTTGGTAACGCCCATGACAGTCTTGGAGATTTCCAAAAAGCTATAGAGTACCATGAACGACACCTCAAAATTTCCAAAGAAGTGGGAGACAGGGTAGGAGAAGGAAAAGCGTACTGTAATCTTGGCAACGCCTGTCACGGTCTTGGACATGTCCAGAAAGCCATAGAGTACCATGAACGACACCTCAAAATTTCCAAAGACGTGGGAGACAGGGCAGGAGAAGGAAAAGCGTACTGTAATCTTGGCAACGCGTATCACGGTCTTGGACATTTCCAGAAAGCCATAGAGTACCATGAACGACACCTCAAAATTTCCAAAGAAGTGAGAGACAGGGCAGGAGAAGGAAAAGCGTACTGTAATCTTGGCTACGCCTGTCGGAGTCTTGGAGATTTCCAGAAAGCCATAGAGTACCATGAACGAGACCTCAAACTTTCCAAAGAAGTGGGAGACAGAGCAGGAGAAGGAAAAGCGTACAGTAATCTTGGAAACGCTTTTAGAAATCTTGGAGACTTCCAAAAAGCTATAGATTACCATGAACGACACCTCAAAATATCCAAAGAAGTGGGAGACAGGGTAGGAGAAGGAAAAGCGTACTGTAATCTTGGCAACGCCTGTCACGGTCTTGGACATTTCCAGAAAGCCATAGAGTACCATGAACGACACCTCAAAATTTCCAAAGAAGTGGGAGACAGGGCAGGAGAAGGAAAAGCGTACTGTAATCTTGGCAACGCCTATCACAGTCTTGGAGATTTCCAGAAAGCCATAGAGTACCATGAACGACACCTCAAAATTTCCAAAGAAGTGGGAGACAGGGCAGGAGAAGGAAAAGCGTACTGTAATCTTGGCAACGCCTATCACAGTCTTGGAGATTTCCAGAAAGCCATAGAGTACCATGAACGACACCTCAAAATTTCCAAAGAAGTGGGAGACAGGGCAGGAGAAGGAAAAGCGTACTGTAATCTTGGCAACGCCTATCACAGTCTTGGAGATTTCCAGAAAGCCATAGAGTACCATGAACGACACCTCAAAATTTCCAAAGAAGTGGGAGACAGGGCAGGAGAAGGAAAAGCGTACTGTAATCTTGGCAACGCCTATCACAGTCTTGGAGATTTCCAGAAAGCCATAGAGTACCATGAACGACACCTCAAAATTTCCAAAGAAGTGGGAGACAGGGCAGGAGAAGGAAAAGCGTACTGTAATCTTGGCAACGCCTATCACAGTCTTGGAGATTTCCAGAAAGCCATAGAGTACCATGAACGACACCTCAAAATTTCCAAAGAAGTGGGAGACAGGGCAGGAGAAGGAAAAGCGTACTGTAATCTTGGCAACGCCTATCACAGTCTTGGAGATTTCCAGAAAGCCATAGAGTACCATGAACGACACCTCAAAATTTCCAAAGAAGTGGGAGACAGGGCGGGAGAAGGAAGAGCGTACTGTAATCTTGGTAACGCCTATTACAGTCTTGGAGATTTCCAGAAAGCCATAGAGTACCATGAACGAGACCTCAAAATTTCCAAAGAAGTGGGAGACAGGGCAGGAGAAGGAATAGCGTACTGTAATCTTGGCAACGCCTATCACAGTCTTGGACATTTCCAGAAAGCCATAGAGTACCATGAACGAGACCTCAAAATTTCCAAAAAAGTGGGAGACAGGGCAGGAGAAGGAAAAGCGTACAGTAACCTTGGAAACTCTTTTAGAAATCTTGGAGACTTCCAAAAAGCTATAGCGTACCATGAACGAGACCTCAAAATTTCTAAAGAAGTGGGAGACAGGGCAGGAGAAGGAAAAGCGTACGGTAATCTTGGCAACGCCTATTACAGTCTTGGAGATTTCGAGAAAGCCATAGAGTACCATGAACGACACCTCAAAATTTCCAAACAAGTGGGGGACAGGGCAGGAGAAGGAATTGTGTACGGTAATCTTGGCAACGCCTATTACAGTCTTGGAGATTTCCAGAAAGCCATAGAGTACCATGAACGACACCTCAAAATTTCCAAACAAGTGGGGGACAGGGCAGGAGAAGGAAAAGCTTACGGTAATCTTGGCAACGCCTATCACAGTCTTGGAGATTTCCAGAAAGCCATAGAGTACCTTGAACGACACCTCAAAATTTCCAAAGAAGTGGGTGACAGGGAAGGAGAAGGAAACGCGTACTGTAATCTTGGCAACGCCTATCACAGTCTTGGAGATTTCCAGACAGCCATTTACTATTATAAAAACAGTGCCATTGCCTTCGACTATATCAGGGGAAATCTCATATCTAATGACGAATGGAAAATTAGTCTTGGTAGTACTTATAATCATATTAATTTGAAGCTATGGGGGCTGCAGTTTAAGGAAGGTAAAGTCATCGAGGCACTTTTAACTGCTGATCATGGACGTGCCCAAGCTTTAAATGATCTTCTGGAGTTCAAGTATGGGTTTAAAGGGTTATCTCCAGAAATAGGAACACTCTCTGCAACAACACCTGACGTTCTTAGTTACCTACCATCAAATACGGCTTTTATAGGTATCAACGAGGAAGGAATAGTTCTCTGGGTGAACGAGAAAGGAAACGAAATCAAAACTAGAAAAACTCAGATCGATGTCTCCGTCAAAACCTATTTTCAGTCTCTACTGGAGACTGCACTTGAAAAAATAGGTGTGAGAGCTGATGTTAACTGTGAAGATCGCTCATTAAGGAACCCAAGCGATAAGAAGTTAGCGGAAAAAAAATCCAGTAAGCCAAGGTCTTATTCCTCATCTTTTGAGACAAAATCATTACAAACATTTTACAAAGTTGTTATGGACCCTATAAGAGACTTACTCCACAGCGATGAGGTTGTGATTGTTCCACAAGGACCTCTGTGTTTGGCCCCTTATGCTGCTTTCATTGACTTGAACTCAAAGTACCTCTGCGAAACTTTTAGAATTCGCCTACTTCCCTCACTTTCTAGTCTGCGATTAATCCAAAATTGTCCAGCAGGTTGGCACAGCAAGACTGGCGCTCTTCTCGTGGGCGATCCGTGGGTACAGGAGGTGGTTTATGAAGGAATGAGGCTAAAGCAGTTAGCGTGGGCCGAAAAGGAAGTGCAGATGATTGGGGAAATACTTCAAACTGAACCTCTCGTTGGAAAGCAGGCAACAAAAGATGAAGTCTTAACGCGTATCTCGTCGGTTTCTTTGGTGCACATTGCTGCTCACGGTAAAATGGAAACAGGAGAAATTGCCTTGGCCCCAAACACAACACGTTCATCTTTGAATCCAGCAAGGGAGGACTATCTCTTAACTATGAAAGATGTTTTAAAGGCGCAGATTAGGGCAAGACTTGTTGTACTTAGTTGTTGTCATAGTGCCCGGGGAGAAGTCAAATCTGAGGGTGTGGTCGGTATTGCACGGGCATTTTTGGGTGCTGGTGCTCGCTCTGTTCTGGTGTCCCTTTGGGCGATCGAGGACGAAGCTACTATGGAGTTCATGAAAGTTTTCTACCAACAACTAGTCCATGGACGAAGTGCCAGTGAGGCTCTGAATAAAGCCATGAAATCCATGGGAGAATCTGACCGCTTTAACGCAGTGAAGTACTGGGCGCCGTTTGTTCTCATTGGTGACGACGTAACGTTCGAGTTTGAGGGCATCCAATAAATAACAAGGTATTTTGGGATATATTTAAGCCTTGATCATATTACGTGTTTTAGGAAAAATTTTAACAAGGAATTATTTTTGCCATTTTATTGAACAACGAACTCAACCGGTGCTAGGTAGCGTCAATCTGGCAATCACAGGTCAAGTTCACAACAACAAAGGAGTCTGACTTTGGTAGTTCTTTATTTCAAGTGTCAGGATTTTTTCACATTTAAAGTGTCCGTGGCCCCGTCTGAGTTCGTTCCACTGTAACTTACAGTCGAACCTGACGTAAGCGACGACTCAAAATACCAAGATCAATTTACGGTCGCTTATTTTACGGAAGGTGGTCACTTAGGAAAGTCTCCAGATGTGGTAAATCCTTTATTAAGCCTCCCGGGGATTTATTCATTTCAAGAAGAGCTGAGCAAGGGGGGGAGGGGGGGCGCTTCTCATTCCCAACGAGTCACGAAACAAATATTTACGTTTTCACTCTTCTCAAAACTAGAGGTCGTACAAAAGGTCAAAAACGTTACGTTAGTCCCATTTTGTGTTTTAGCAAGTTAATTAGAGTTTTACGAACCTTACTAAAAACACTGCGCGGCTATAAATTTCCTAGGTAAGCCAGCTGTAGGTAGGTCTGAGCGCACTGAAGTGTGAAGTTACATAAAAAAAAACTCGAAAGTGAAGTTAAATCAAGCCACCAGATGCTAGTTAAGGTCGTTTAGCAAAATGAACGATTTATTTTCTTCGATTGATATTCAATGTTCGTGTAAACAATCGAGGATTTTTTCAGTTCAGGTTTCACGGAGCGCACTTAATCACGATTCACAGAACAGTTTTTCGGTACATCACGATTCACGGACACCAAAAATGGTCTACAACGGCGTCACGAAAATAAGCTCGCCCCCACTTCAAGAACGTTTGAGAGGAAGGAGGGGATTATTTTTTAATTAAGCGAAGATTGTGGTATCATTTCTCAATAAAGAACTAGTTGGAGGTCATGATCAGCCGAGGATCAAAATCAAATTGGAACTTCCAGCTCGTGAATAAACCATACCGGATAATTAGTCCACATGAAGAGTTACAGTCGTGATAAATTAATACATCGATGATACGTCTATTATATAAGAATACTGAGAGAAGGCATGAAAGAGATGGGGAGTTTAATTTTTTTTTTTTTCCTGAAAAGAGGAGCTTATTAGAGAGGGGGGCTTAGTAGGGAATTTATGGTATGTAACCTTATTTAAATCTGCAATAATTCTAATCATTGGTTGACATTAAGAGTCCAAATGTGACCCTTTGCTCTGATAGATTTAGTGCGTGTTCGATTCACCGGATTCCGCGTCTCAAATAAAAATAAATGGAATAAACTCGCTAGAAATCACTTGTTCTTTCTTTCATTCTGTTGCAATATCTACAAAACTGCTTGAAATAAAGTATTCTGATCTATATAAACCTTAAATGGTTCAAAAATTAGGGTATAGAAGAGGTTTGTAACAAAAATTTTCCGTATTCTTATTCCAGAGTACGATCAATCGCGCGCACTCTTAGAAGTCAGTTGTCAAAATGTTATGCCTCGCCAGATGAAGACACCATTCTTTTCTTTTGTTATCTTGCTAACGTTGCTNTTCCAGAGTACGATCAATCGCGCGCACTCTTAGAAGTCAGTTGTCAAAATGTTATGCCTCGCCAGATGAAGACACCATTCTTTTCTTTTGTTATCTTGCTAACGTTGCTTTTTGCTGTTGTTTGTTGTTGTTGTTGCTGTATAGGTTTGATGAAGAATGCAGTGAAGCAGTTCCTAACTATCTGAAGTTGAAGTCAGTTTCTACTTTTGTCACAATTACGAGGTGGAGCGGTCCTCACAAGAATAGGAACACTTTATCCAGAAGAGAAAATTAAATGCTGTTACTAAATAAGTTGAAGCTTTGCGTAGTTTGAAAATTACAGTGTACGTTTCGTAGCTTATTTTGCGATCAGTCGTGTGCACTTGAAACTTGTTTTACAGTCACCTGAAAAATATCGGGAATCAGTGGTCAATTTCGGCTATTTTCATTGGTACCACACTGGACAGAGGCACTGTAGACCAGCAATTTAATACAGTTCGTCACTGTTTTTCTATCAGGGACCTTAAGCAACTTCGACGACGACGGCAGTGGAAACATGACTGAAAAAATGAATTTGCATTCTTTCAAACTTTATCGCGTTCTTTGGAACCGCTCAATTCGTCAAATGTAAGCGACTTCTCCTGGAGTTGAATTCTCGAGGGCTTTATCCATGTTCAAATAGAGAAAGGAAAATTTGTCGTCGTATGACCACGTCCTCCATAAAACGTCACATTGGGACGTTTCACGTCGTAGTGGTGCAGTGGACGTCAAAGAAATGTACTAAAGAGCGTGATGGACGTGCAGAGCTGTTGTTTTGCTTATAAAACCAATTGTTTTTTTTTTCCTTGTCCTCGTTGTCGTCGTTGTCGTCGTAGTTGCTTAAGGTCCCTATTCAGCCTATTTACACAGTTGTAGTTTTTAATTCTTTTGGCAGATTGGTTTAAGTTTATTAGTGTCTAGATTGGTCTCCATTCTAATACGAAAGTCAAATTCCCTGTTCATGATCAGTTATTGAAATCACTAATGATTGTAGTTTTACATTTACTTGTCTTTTTGATTGGTGAAGGATTTCTATTTCATAGCCCAGGCTTTTTTGCATTGCGTTCTCCACGTTGTTTTTACCATCAAGTTTTCTTATTTCTCTTGTCGACACCTTTTACATACAAGAGAAAAAAGAAAGACAACTAGGGAACTTATTAAACTCCGTAGTTGTTTATTGGCTGGTTAAAACAAACTGAAGAGTCCGTTGATCTCTGTTTTGTAGAGAAAAGAATTTCCAAGTTTGATTTAAGTCTACTTGACTTTTAATTATACATCTGTAAAGAGAATACGTTTTACACCTGACCTAAATTGTACCTATAAAAATTAACTTCTCTAAATAAATTTATCGTTTTGTGCATCTAAACTGGTGTCTGTAATAAGTGTCAAAGCAATGATGTGGAACTTAATTGTAATGTTGAGAAGGAACGTAAACCTTCTTGCGTAAGGTTATTAACCACTGACCTACAAATGTAGTATACCTCACTGAGAAGGTGTCCTGATTGGCTGATCGAAATCTTGGTTAATGAGTTTTTTACACGAAATGGAAAATTGAACTAACTTAGATAAAATAAATAAATAAATAAATAGGATTCCTCATTAGACAGAAGTTTCTGATAGGGTTGTCCATTGATACCACCTGTTAAATGTAGCAGGCGTAGCAACTTCAAAAAGCGTTGCAAGCGTACTCAACATAGCAAGGGCAAGAAGTGTAGCAAGCAAACGTAGTAAGAATAGTAAATATAGCAAATGGACTGTAGCAAGCGCAGCAATTGTATCGTAACAAGCGTATAGCAAACGTAACAAGAGTAGCAAGCGTAGAAAGTGTAGCAAGAGTAACAAGTGTACTCATACATGAGGTAAGACGTTACCGTTAAAGCAAGCAATGGATACCAGGGGTTTTTCCCCCGCTGCTTCGTTTAAATCACGGATCTACGTTTATATCACATGTCAGCATTTCTCGAAACTCCCGAAAGACTTAGATCATTAAAAGAAATCGGATTTCTAGCATTTTTTTGACTATTTTTTGGAAAGCGCCAGCTACAAAAAGGAGAAATAAATTGGGAAAATTTGTCTAAAAAGCTAATCCCAAGTGCTAGGAAACAAACTTGAAAAATTATGTTTGGCCATGAAAAGTTTCACGCAGTTTTGAGAGACGCACATCCTGTGGTTTTCATATTGTCTCATTCCGTTACTGTGACTTCACCAATTAAACGTCAGAACCTCTGGGAATGGCTGGAGTCCGGTTAATAGAGGTTTGGCTGCATCTTTGTCTACCTGTTATA